AATGGCATCCCTTGTGGATCCCAGATTCAAAGCTGGCTACATCAGCAGTGACAAGGTCCTCAACAACAAGAGTGATGTCTGAAATTGAAGCACTTATGCCAAAGGTAAATGTTAATTTGTGATTAAGTAAAAATTCAAATTACTAACTACATTTTACTTACAGAATTTTCACATTTTCATATTCTAGGAGCAAAATGCAGGCAATCAAGATGACAGCATGGATCCATCAGAAGCAATCCAAAAGAAGGCCAAAAAATCCTTAGGCAGTTTCTTCAAAACATCCCCAGCTCCTTCATCTGTGGTACCATCACACTCCGTAGAGGCAGAGCTCAACAGCTACCTGGTATCTCCCACAGTAGACACTGAGGAGAACCCTCTCACTTGGTGGCAACTCCATCAGGTCAACTTCCCACACCTGAGCAAACTAGCTAGAAAGTACCTCTGTATACCTGCAAGCAGCTCACCTTCAGAGAGACTTTTTAGTGCATCAGGAAATGTTGTTACATGCCAACGCACTTGTTTAAAACCTACCAAAGTCAACATGCTCGTTTTTCTGGCAAAAAACTTAAAGTAATATTGTTTTCACAGTGTTAGGCACAAATAGAGTTTGAATACAAGTTTACATTTTCCTGTTTACATGCTATTACATTAATGTTGAAAAGATGTAATACTAATTTACTTACAGTCTGGGCACTTTATGTTTTCTAAGATTTTATAATATTTTTATTTATTTATTTAATATGTATAGAAAACCAGGCAAGCAAGGCAATGTTTTGTTTCAAAGCTGTTAAAGCTCTTGGTTCAGATGCTCTTGGCAATTACATGTTGTACACATGGTTACATGTGAATAAAATGATTGAGAGTAATGCCTTTTTATTTTTTGTTACAACAGGTATGCAGTAGTATTTGTGAAGTTTGTTCGCACCACATAATAGTTAGCCTGAATTACAATTAATTCGATCAGAATACATATAGCCTGCGTATTTTGCCACATTAAAGTGTATTTCTTCGATTAGATAATGAAAATACCATTTCTTCAGGGGAATATTAAATATCACAATAATATCGATATCGCAATATTCAACACCCATATTGCATGTTTTTCCAATATTGTGCAGCCATAGTACAAACTTATGCTGTTCAGCCAAATTCGTTACACTCAATTGATTCTAAATGTTAAGGAGAGCAGGTTTTAAAATGTGTATAAAATCATTCACAAACACCTAAAATATTTTTCATATGATGGAATGGTGCTGCTATAAAAACATGGAGTCTTTGGTCTGAATTTTCCACCCAGTTTCAAAATCATACAACTTCCAGCTTAGTGCAGTTTTAGTAAAACAGAAGAGAAAGCACCCTACAATGAGGGGAACGCCTACAACTTAGCACTGGTACAGAAAAACTCCACATGAAAATTACAGTACGTAACCTTCACCGGTGCTGCCAGGTAAGGTTTCCCTCTGGGGGATCGCTCCAGTCTGATCTCTGACCAGGGGAGCCCCATCCTCTCACACACAAACTTCCTCAGCAACAACCTGCCGGCCTGAGAGGGTGACATAAGGAGAGGCAGCATATTGCACATCTTGGAATGACGAGTATGAAAGAACAGGTGGTGCAAGCCAGCACACACAGGATAGTTTACAGTCACTCACCATGGCAGATTTAGCATCCTTGGCGAACACAAACTGTCCTATCCTGTCTTTCTCCTCCCTCTGAACACAGCGAGCAGATAAGAGCCAGTCAGACCTGCTCGGTGTCCACGACCCACAGCGAAAAGCCCACCGGACAGACCCCATCTCCTCACCTGTGTCGCCCTCTGTCATCCGGACTCCCCCACAACTTCACAAACTCTTAGAGAGCTAACGTTAGCATAGCGCGTTAGCACGTACGGCTCGACTGACATCAAAACTCCGGAAATGTTATATCTCAGATATTCAGGCTTAGACTGTGGAGAAAGGAGCAGCGGATAAGTGGAGGCTGTTCACAAAACTACTCAAAACATACCATTTGTTTACATTTCCGATGTGACAGCGGTGCACGCGCCTGTAAGAGTCTGGCGAGACTCAGTGTCGTCAGTGAGCGAGGTGAAGGATTGACCAATGGGGACTGCCTCACTAACGATGCCTTCACAGTCTCACAGAAATTTTGTAAACCCGTGTTATTGAAATGGCGAGAAACTAAAGACGGCGGCGACAGTTTTCACTGCCCTAGGACGTGACATACAAGAAAAAATACTGAAGTTGTCTGGAAATGGTAAATGTGTAGTTGCTCATGTTCCCATAAGTACATCATTCGGCGTACATTCTTGATGCCCAAAATGCCCCCCTTCTGCAATTGAATATTAAAAAAACAAAACAAAACAAACAAAAAAAAAACAAAAAAAAAAAACAACCCGCTGCTTGGTACATAATGCCGAAATGCTTCTGCTGCAGGTGCATTCTGCCACTTGTTTCCCGAATAACACAATCATATTTACAAGCATCCTAACACTTATGTCAGGATGCTATTTGTTGATTTCAGTTCGGCATTTAATAGTGTAATCACAGGAAAAAGTGGCACTGAAACTGCTAAATCTGGGAATGCCTGCAATGATGTGTCATTGGATTAATGACTTCCTCACTAACAGGCCTGAAGTGGTGAGAATTGCAAGCTGCACATCATCCACACTGGTCCTTAACACAGGCACACCACAGGGCTGTGTGCTCAGCCCAGTTCTCTTCACTCTGTTTACCCATGACTGTGATGCCATTCACCCCGCAAACACAGTAGTGAAGTTCGCAGATGACACCACCGTAGTGGGTCTCATCTACAGTATGGTACAGAAGCTGCACTGCACAGGACAGAAAGGACTTTACCCGGGTGGTGAGAACAGCTCAGGGCCTTGCAGGGAGTACTCTGCTGATTTT